ACCCCCGCCAGCCCCGCCAGGCCCAGGGCTCCCAGCCAGGCCAGGCCCATCTTGGGCCGGGTGGGGAGGGGTCGGGGAGAGCCGTGGAGGGAGGGACGGGTGCACCAGTGTCTGGGCAAAGCATTTCCGAATACACGCATCAGAACAGACAAGTCCAGACGGCTCTGTGTCAACAGCCGAAGATAAATAAGATTTTATCGGCTCGGAATCTGTTGAAACACATCCATCTAGCGGTTCTAGGGGAGAAGGAGGCAGGAGGGGGCACAGCAGAGGAAGCATTGCCTTTGACCTCCTGTAGGAGACGGCAGGCACCCACGCGGCAGTGCTGTCCCGCAGGGTCTCGGTTCCAGCAGACCCCCAAGCTTCGCTGGAGGTGCTGGGGACAGTCGGGCCCTCTGGGATCAAGACTCGAATACCCCATGTCCCCTCTTCTTGTGGCCACTGTGCCCCCACCCCATGTTCCCGGGCAGGGGGAAGCCACAAGCTGCCTGCAGTCCAGGGTTTGGGCCATGTGTCCAGCCTCCTGGAGTGGCCACAAGCCCTGCGCTACTCACCCCTGTAGGGAGACTCCAGGCCTGGAGGCGAGAGCCAGGCTCAGACCGCCCTAGGGCAGCAGCCCCTCGCTCCCACCCTGGGACCTGCTGACCAGAGGCTGCCGATAGTTCCGGACCCAGCGGGCTCGGGAAAGGAAGGTCCGGCCACTCGGCCCCGGTACCTGGGACAGCTCCCGGCGCCGGCTCCTCCCCGGGGCGGGGCGTCTGCCAGGCACCCTTGGCTGCCCCACCGCCCTAGTCACGTGTCCCTCGCTTTCCCGGGCCCGCCTCAGACCCCACCAGGGCCGCACCTGGTCCAGCGTGGGGCACCCCAGGGCCGGGGCGTACCGGGTGAGGCTGTCACAGGGTTGCGTGCGGGTCAGGACCCCAGGGGAAGGGCCGCGGATTCCGCACAGGCTCCGAGCCACCGCTGAAGGCGCTGTTGAGATGTCTGTCAGGGCCTCCGGGACACCGCTTCTGCGCCCCAAGCCCTGCTCCTTGCCTCTGCCCAGGGAACCGGGCTGGGGAGCTGGCCTCTACTCCAGGCGTGTTGGGGCTACCCAGGAATGCTGCGCTGGGCCCTGTCACAGCTGGGCCCGCCCCGCTCCCAGCCCGTCTCTGGCTGGGGCTGAGTCCTGGAGAGGACGGAGCCCCTGGGTGGTCAGCCCTGCAGAGAGGACTCGGGGAGCCTGGGCCTGCCAGTCCCTGGGGTCCCCGCCCTCTGCAGGAAGCTGTCACCTTTTCACCCGCGAAGTGGCAGACGCGGCCGACCTCAGCACCGGCGCTGGTTATGTCGGGGGCGGAGCCACAGAGGGTCGTGTCTGAGCCTAAGGCCACCCAAAAGGCACCCGTGCAGCTGCGGACCCGGACCCCACCTGCCACCCCAACCCTCGGCCCACTTCCCTTAGCCAAGCCTGGACCTGGCAAACTGTAGGTGCTCAGCCCCATCACACTACACGCCGCTCTGGGGTGGGTCCCCGCCTGTCGGGACACTACCGGCACCTGTGTGGTGGGCACGGGTTCTGTGGCGCTGGGGTCTTCTGCTCTGTGCCATCAGGAAGGGTGGCAAGGCCGTGACTTCTGTGTGCCATTCCCATTGACCTGCACCAGGGGCCCGGGCACAGCCGCCTCGTGGGCCCCTGTGGGCCTGCAGTCCGGGGGGCGCGCTCTGCACATGAGGGGCTCCGCGGTGACCTCGCCATGCTGCTTCAGAGAAGCCTGGGGCCCCTTCTGCACCCCACCAGCCCTGCGTCCCTCCTACCTGCCACCCTGGCTCACCAGGTCTCCTGCCAACCTGCATGGATGAAGATAGACACTGCGGGGTGCAGCTGGATGTGGGGCCCAGGCATAGGACTGGGGCGCTACATCCCTGGAGACAGGTCGACCGCTCTTCCAGAGAGGTGCTTGGGGAGTGGAGGAGCAAAGATACCCCCCCCGGAAGTGAGACTGAGCCCACACCGGAAGGAGCCTGCTCTTCCCAAGCAAGGGCCCCGCCCAGGGATGGGGGGCTGCACCCTGCCAGGATGCTTTCCGCTTCCCAAACAGCAGCTGCCTCTGCCCGGGCCCAGGGTGCTTGCACTTCCTGCACACCCACAGTGGGGACCATTTATCCTTCAGAGTCAGGGGCCCGCCTCCCCTGGCTAGGGAAAAGACGGTTCACTCCCCTGTTCCTGCCCAGGTTCTGCCAGCAGCGCCCAGTCGTCTCTGGCCTCCGTTTCCTCTACTGTACCAGGGTGATGGGGCATTTTACGGAGTACTTGTGACGGGTGTAACGCTTCATTCCGAGTTGCTGGGGCTGGGGAGGTGTCCAGGGTGTGGGTGTGGTGGAGGAAGGGCTCGGGTGGGGGCACAGGCTGGGTGCGGGCAGCAGGGGGCTTCCGGCTTTAACCCGGCCCCTTCTCCAGTACTCGCCGCTGCTGAAGAAGCTTTACTGCCAGATCGCCAAGACGTGCCCCATCCAGATCAAGGTGTCCACGCCACCGCCCCCAGGCACCGCCATCCGGGCCATGCCCGTCTATAAGAAGGCAGAGCACGTGACCGACGTCGTGAAACGCTGCCCCAACCACGAGCTTGGGAGGGACTTCAACGAAGGTGAGGCCCGAGCAGCCGCCGCAGCACCACGGCCAGCGCCCTAGAGGGGAGGCGGAGTCGGAGCAGGGACGGTTCAGGGACCTGTGGCCCGGCATCATCCGGGGCACTGTGGGGTGCGCTCCAGCGTACCAGGTGAGGCTGTGGGCACCCGGTTCGGTAGAAAGGTAGGGCAGAGTGACAAGGTCAGGTGCAAGGCCTGAACTGTACCTGGACACTATGGGGCCAGGCCCTGTGGGCCCAGCTCTGCTACCTGAGCCTGGCCCAGGGTGGCTGGACCAGGGTTGGGCCCCTCTGAAGCGGCGTCCCCTCCCGGCAGGACAGTCTGCCCCAGCCAGCCATCTCATCCGTGTGGAAGGCAACAACCTCTCTCAGTACGTGGACGACCCTGTCACTGGCAGGCAGAGTGTTGTGGTGCCCTACGAGCCCCCACAGGTAGGCCTGGGCCAGGGGGGCCTGGGGCAGGGTGGCAGGATGAGACCTGCCTCACTTCTGTGGGTCCAGTGCATGTCTGGGGCTCTTCCCTCCCTTGCAACACTGTGTGCACCAATACTCTGGGCCTCAGTGTCCCCAGCAGTGCCATGGGGTGCAGGGACAACCTCCAAGCCCTAGCACTACCCTCCAGGGAGATACTTCTCTTGCCTGTCCAGCCAGGCACCTGGACCCATGACGACCAGGAGTTCCCGGAATCCTGTACACTGGTTGGTGGAGGCCGAACCAGCCAGTGAACATTGGGGGTGGTCAAGTTCATGCTGGGCTCGGAGCTGGGGAAGGGGCTGCTAGGCCGGTAGGCAGACCACCAGAAGGCAGCTGGAGGGGCTGAGGCCCGGACTCGAGTGTGCAGGGTTTTGGGGGAGGAGGGACCTCTGTGGGGACACCCATGTGCGCATGCAGGGCCTACACAAGGTGCAGACTGGAGGTGGGGGCAGGAGGTGGCCAGGCAGGTGAGGCTGGGAAGTCTGGTCTTTGACCTGAAGGCAGCAGCAGAAGTGGGGACACTGCTCTGGTCTGATGGGGACCAAGTTGGAGTGAAAGGCTGGTGTTCCTGGGACACTGTGGCCTATGATGGGACAGCGTGTCAGGGAGAGCAGGTGACCACAAGGCCCATCTAGTACCTGGTTCTGAGACCAGCCCCCATGCCCCATCCCAGGGTCCTGACACCTTTCCACCACCAGGATTGGGCCCTGGGTCTCCCTCCTCCTGTGTCTGCCAGATCTGCCAGGGAAGCGGGCTCTCCTGCCCCCTGGTGGCTGCCACATGCAGGCCATTCTGGGAAAGACAGGTCTTTGCAAACTACTCATGGCACTAGTATTCCGACCAGGGACCCTGGGAAAACTGCCTGTGTTGTGTCCCAGGACACACAGTGGGCAGGAGTCCTGGGGTTATGTCTGGGCTCTCCCCAGAACTCCCTGAGAAGGTGAGCTGGGGCGGGGGTCTTCCTGGGATGGCTGTGTTCCTCCCCAAGCAGCCCCTCACACCCCCCTGCCCAGAGGAGCCCACACCATGCAAGGCCTGCTGCACACCTGCTCGTGCAAAGCACACACCTTCCCAAAGGACTGTGCACACCCAGTCCTGCAACACGTGTGCTGCAAGACCTATGCACACCCACTCTTCACAGCCTTAGGGCTTGACCTCAGCCTGCGTCAGGGAAGATGGTGGGGGCAAACTGACCATGGACTCTGTGCTTCCCTAAGGGCAGAGTCGAGGCCTGAGGTCACTTAGAACCCGGAGCCAGCACAGTGCTTAGTGCTCAGTGCACTGAATGGATGGATAAATGGGTGGCTGGATGGGTGGGTGGATGGATAGATATGTGGATGGGTGGACGGATGTGTGGATGGGTGGAAGGGTGGACAAATGGGTGGTGGGTGGATAAGTGAGCAGATGGATGCACAGACAGATGAATAGATGGTGGGTGAGTGGGTGGTGGATGGAATGTGTGAGTGGAGAGGTGAATGGGTGATTGGATAGATGACAACCACACAGGAGCCCTCACCCATTCCCACCCAGACCCAGGGCCAGGCCCACATGCTGATGCCAAGCCCTGCCTGCCTTCCATGGACAGGTGGGGACGGAATTCACCACCATCCTGTACAACTTCATGTGTAACAGCAGCTGCGTGGGCGGCATGAACCGGCGGCCCATCCTCATCATCATCACCCTGGAGACCCGGGAGTGAGTCTGCCAGGGACGGGGTGGGCTGTGAGGCCTGTGCCAGGGTATGGTGCTGAGCCTGGGGGTCTGGGGAGAGCTCAGCTGCCCTCATGGGGCTGGTGGGACGGGGTGGGGTGGGTTCCTGGGCGCTCACTCTTCCGGCTGTTCGCCCCCGTCCTGCCGACAGTGGCCAGGTGTTGGGCCGCCGGTCCTTCGAGGGCCGCATCTGTGCCTGTCCCGGGCGCGACCGCAAGGCCGACGAGGACCACTATCGTGAGCAGCAAGCCCTGAACGAGAACGCTACCAAGAACGGGGCCACCAGCAAGCGTGGTGAGTGGGCTCCAGCCAGGTCATGTGTGGGCCACGTACAGGGTGACCTGCAGAGTGGGTGCAACTGGTATCGGGAGATGGACCCAGGCCAGGCACAGTCCTCAGGCCAGTCGCTGAGCCTGGAACCTCAGGTCCAGGGTGCACTCGGCACCTGGGTCCTCTCTGTCCAGCATGGGCACTGCCCGGCCCTGCCCTGTCACTGGGCTGCACTATGGGAGGGGAGGGCACCTGCCCTGGGCTATGCTGGCTCAGCCAGCCTTCCCTGCCCATCCTCTAGCATTCAAGCAGAGCCCCCCTGCCATCCCCGCCCTGAGCGCCAACATGAAGAAGAGGCGGCACGGGGATGAGGACATGTACTACATGCACGTGAGTGGCCCTTGGGGAGGTAGGGGCTGCAGAGGGCAAAGCAGCCAGGCAGATATGAGTACAGCTGGTGGCTTGAACCCCCCCCCCCCCCCCGGGGGCGC